GAAAAATAAATCAATAACCTAAGGTAAGAGGAAATAAAACTAGAATTGAAAAATAAGATAAAGGATAACGTTTACTTTAGAATGAAAGTTATAAAGAAAAAGATTGAAGTAACTGTTCAAAAAAAAAAAAAAAACAAAAAAGAAATAAAGGGTTTTCCTTTTATTTTTATTTGTCGATCAAATAACGTACGCTCTAGGCTTGGTTGAGGAAAGGTAGAATAGGTAGGATAGGTAGGTAGGTACCTACCTATACATAGGACAAAATAGACGTCGACGATGGTTAGGTCAAACTGTTGGTTTAAAGCAATTCGCAAGTGCGACCTTTAACCTCCCAACGGCTCACGGCCAGCAGGGAGATTAATTAAAAAGTTTCAAGAGAAAGAGAGAGAGAGAGAGAGAGAGAGAGAGAGAAAGAGAGGTGAAGAGAAAGTTTAGTAGAAAGAGAAAAACAAAGAAAGACAGAAAGAAAGAGATAAAAAAAAGAATCAGTCACGTTTGATCGAAGAAAAGAAAAAAAAGGGTCTCAAACAAATTTTTATTTCAATCAACTCAGTGTTGTACCTATCCAATCCCTAAACTTAGGACTACGTATTTTTGGGTTTACAATGTATCTTATCTAAAATATCTTTTCTATCCTTTTGGATTCTTCATCATAAAAAGAAAAAAAAAAAAATAAAGAACATAAGAAACATCCTTTTCTTAAAACGAATTTTGTTGAAGGTTTGTGTGTCTCCATAAGTGTTGTGTCTGTTTCGTTTGTGTGTTATCTGGCATACATTATCGAGAAATTATATTATAGTACCTTGAGAGAAGAGAAATTTGAATCGAGGATCGGTTCCTTCAGAGACTTGGTCGCCACCTTTGCTGTTAGCTAGCTTTCTACCTTACTAGCTACTATGCTTACTTAACGAACGAACGAACGAACGAACGAACGAACGAAGGAAGGAAGGAAGGAAGGAAGGAAAATGGGAGAGTGAGAATAAGAGAGAGAGAGAGAGAGAGAGAGAGAGAGAGAGAGAAAGAGAACCAGAACGGATCTTATAATTCCATAGTAACCGTGCAAACGAGCGAAATTGCGTACGTAGAACGTTAAGAGAAAGAGAAAGAGAGTGAGAGAAAGAGAGAGAGAGAGAGAGAGAGAGAGAAAGCTTTTGGCTTTACAATGCAAATCCTCTTCGAACGTTTCTGACAGAAACGTAGATGGCGAAAACACTATGATGTTACTATATCTATGAGAAAGATACGGGTAAAAGGAGTTTATAATACTAGGATATAAACTCTTGTAAGAATACATATACATATAATACTATACCGCGTGTGTATAGTGTATCGCATAGAGTAGTATGTTGTATATACTATAATACGTGACTAAAACTATGTGTAATCGTTTTAACACTATCGTTTTCAAAATAATAACAAATTTCTTGTCAATGACAAAAAGAATATTAAAAAATAAAAATAAAAGTGTATTAAAAAAGATATTATATAATTGTATATATATATATATATATATATATATATATATATATATATTATATTATATTATAAATATTATTATAATAATATAAATATAATATATAATATAAATATATAAAGAGATTATATAAAAGATTTTGAAAAAAAAAAAAAAAACAAACCGTAAATTTGTTTTTACTTTAACACGTTAAAAGCCACGCGAATTTTTATGGAAATCTTCGTCAGGCCACACGTGTTAAAACGAAAGGTTGATCGTCAGTCACCGATGCCTGACACATCCTAAACGTGAAGTTCAATGTCAGTCACTGATGACTGACACGTCACTCAACGTGTTAAAACACACAATAAGCTTATACAACATATCGTATATAAAATATATATAAAAAAGAAGAATAAAAGAATAAATGTGATACGTTTTATTTCTAGTCGAATGATTCTGAAACATTTTAACGAAGACAGAAATAAAGGAAGAAAAGGAAATGGTTATACTCTCGAATGGTAAAAAACTTTATGATACGTTTCGTGTCCGACAGATTATCTGACTTATCCGAGGTTGCACATTAGAGACGTTTTTGATAACGCCAGATGCTCTCGCATATGCTATCGCTTTTTCTATACTTGCTCCCCTTCTTAACTCCTACCAACCTCACCTTTCCCCCCCCTTCCCCCTTCCCCCCTTCCCCCCAACCAACCAACGAACGGCCAAACTTTTCACGGAAGTCAGAGTCTAGTATAGTTCAGAAGAAACTTTCTATACTGGCTATAACGATACGATGTTTCATCGTTTTTTATCTCACTTTTTTTTGCTTCTTCTTCTTCTTCTTCTTCTTCTTCTTTCTCTCTCTCTCTCTCTCTCTCTGATAATCTCTCTTTTCCTCTCAGGAGTAGAAAGAAAATGAACGGAGAGTGAGAGAGCAAGAAAAGTTGACTACTCTGTGTGTATCGAGTATATTTATTAAAAAAAAAAAAAAATAATAATAATAATAACACATCGTTTAACGTCTTATTAAATTTTTTTATTCTCTCAATTATTTCTACGATGCACTCACATCTTTTCTATACCATTACGTTTATTTGTAAATCTTTTAATTGTTATATTATCTATCGTAAAAAGGTTTAATCCTCGATGCTATTCTTATTTAAGCAAATATTGTTATTAATGGTTAAACTTGTGTGTGGGTGTGCGTGTGCGTGTGTGTATATATAATTTGAGAAATATAATTAGTATGCAGATTTAAAAACAAAAAAAAAAAAAGAAAAAAAAACATACACATAGGAAGAATAAACACGTAAACCTTAGCTTGCGAAAAACATCGGCTAGGTGTATTAAACAAAAATTAAAAAGAAGAGAAAAAACTATGTAAACAATAAATTGACTGTTTAAGCAAAACTCGAATGAATTTTAACACATACAGAAATAAACTGATACTTCGTTATAGAAACATACACACATACGTTCATCCAAACCACTCTCATCTTTCTTCTCTTGAAAAATCTGTTTTTTTTTTGCTGACGTTTTACAATATCGGATTATAATCAAATTACCATACTGGTACCACGTATTTTTTATATTCATATATATATATATATATATATATAAATAGTTAATATTGAAGGTAAAATCGATTAATTTATGATAAAAATTTTGTTGTTTCGTAGTTAAAACATTTCATGTATAAAAATCCCCGTCCGTTTTCTTCTTCATCTTTAGGGGATTCTTCGTAATGGTAAAAAGGTAAAATGAATCATCATAGCGAGTCATATAAATCATCGGTGTTTCTAATGCTAATAGCTGATATCGAGTCACATCCTCGATTCGTATAAACTGATCGGAACGATATTAGCAATTACAATGAGATCTCGGGTTGACCGTAAATGCTTTAGTGTGGTATCACGTTCATGCTATCCAGTTGTATTATATTAAATACGAAACCTTTTTTTATCAAAATTTCATTCCGTTTAAATATATATATATATATATTTACTATATTATACTATTATATATATTGCCAATATATTTCTTTTATTCTTTATTTTTTATTTTGGAGATATTTATGCACTTTGATATTTAATATTTTTCACATTATAATAATAATAATAATAATAATTATTATTATTATTATTATGTTTCTATATATATATAGGTAAAAAATTTACAAAATTGGAGTTTGGTTTCTGAATAAATATATTTATTCTGTGAATAAAATGATAGAATTATAATATTACGAATCGTAACTTGAGTCAAACCGCAATAATAATAATAATAATAATAATAATAATAATAATAATAATAAAACAATTCCAAGATATAATCGACTATTATAAATTACGATGAATTCTCGATGTTACAGAAATAATAGGAATAAAAGTGATAGATAAAAAGGTATTGGATAAAAATAAAAGAATAGGATAGAAAAAAACAAGAGAGAAAGAAAAGACAAATAACCGGATTTATTAACGTTGGTCGAATACACAACGTGTTCTTTCTCTCTCTCTTTCTCTCTTTCTCTCTTTCTCTCTTTGTCATTCATTAACTTGACCGACAGACACTATGTTAAAATGGTAAAAATAGAAATTTGGCACCGTTAACTTTTACGACGATTCGTTGGACGGAAAGAATTTGGCGTGGTTTCGTTTAACTTCGTCGATATTATAACTGAATCGAAGGTTAATTAATTCTTAAAAAAAAAAAAAAAACAAAGAAACAAATCCTTTTTTTGTTTATCATCACGAATAAAATATTATTCTAGAATATAATTATCGATCGATGGAGAAATTTGAATAAATTGAAATTAAACGACGGTTTATCCTTTTTTCTGGTGTTATTTTTTTTTTTTTTTGTAATAAAAATAAAGGAATACAATGTTGAGATATAAGAGTCACGTGTTAAAAGTTAAAAGAAGACGACAAATGGAGAAAGGTATTTTTTCTTTTTTTTTGGTCTTTTTAAAACACACAAGAAATTGAACGAAATTTCGACAGGGTGTTTTAATTCGATCGTCACAATGGAAACTTTGAAAAAGTTGTTGCTTTTTTATTTGCCAAACTTTTCCTTCCTTCCTTCCTTCCTTCCTTTCTTCTTTTCTTTCGGGACTTATTAAAGTCACGTAAGAATAATAAGTTTGCCGTACTACTCGAATACAAAAAAATTGTTAACAAGAACTCTATATCGTTTATTATTAATTAATTAAATTCGAATTAACGAGTATGACATTGTTTTTTTATTTTTATTTTTTTTTTTTAAGTATTCATTTAATTCGTTCAATTGAAATAAAATGATGTATAAATATACAAGTATAGATTCAATTGGAAAGATAAAGGAAGAGGGGGAAGAAGGGAAGGGAAAACTTAGAAACAGAGGAAAAGTGGTGGGAGTAAGAGTGGGGGAAAATATGCTGAGAAAAATAATAGTATATATATATATATATATATATATATATATATATATATACCAGAGATTATGTTTACGTGATGAAAATGTACGAGTAGTAGTAGTAGTAGTAATAGGTTTATTCTAATTTTACCTTCTCTTTCGTAGTAATATTCTTCGTGCTATATGAAACATAACATTTCTCTTCTATCTCGTAATAATCGATTCACTTGATCATTTGCACCGGCATTTTAGATTTAACAGATTTAATCGTATTTTAGTATTATAAAGAAAAATAGAAAAATAAAATACAAACGATCACTTGATATATATTTATATGCGTGTAAGTATGATTGATATGATTTAAAATCGTATTAATATTAAAACAAAAATAAAGACGGTCGTCACTGGGTATATACGTGTATGAGTGAATTATAATCGGTCAAGTTATTCGAATCGAATTGATAAATCGATCGTGCTCGTTCAATTGATATAAAACGAAACGTTCACTGAATAAGTAAGTTTATTCGTATTACGATTATAGTACTTATTACTGTTTTGTTTCTGAGTCAGTATTAAAAACCGTGCGACATGGTCAGTCGACGTCGTGGTACTGAAAGACTCAGCTCAGCCCGGTAGAGGCCAGTCTGTTAAAAAATCACACCAAGTTCGTTGCATCATTTCGAGTAACGTGTATATATGCATATACAATACACACACACACATATATATACACAAACGTATACTGACTAACCCATATACGATCACGTGTTGACCGTTACCAATCGTAAACTGTTCGTTCTTAGTAAAATCAACACTTTGTTTGACGTGTTTTTTTATTTTTCTTTTTTTTTTTGGATTTGTTAGTTCGTTCCTTTGGACGAGTTTATTTTTTAATTATTTTTTTCATCAACGATTTATTTAAAATACAAAATTTTGTTGATCCACGAATTCGATGAGCAGGAAAAATGTTTTTTTAACGATTTGATGTTAAAGCTGTTACGTTAACTCTTTGTTCGAAGAAATACTACCGGTCTTGATGGTAGTCGTGTTGCCATTTCTATAAATATCTTTACTAGAGATTCGACTGAAGTTAAAGTTGGCGGAATTATTCGAATCGTTTTAAATAAATTAAATACCTTTAAAAGAAAGAACAACAGAAGAAAAAAAAAAGCAACAAGCAATAAGAACGAGACAATATATGTGTTTTTTTTACAAAAAGAATAGAAATAAGAAAAAGTTATTTCTAAAAAAAATAAAAAAAAAAAAAATAAATTATTTCATCACAAAAATTTTGTTCAAAAAAATTATTAAAATTGAAACACCACGAATTTTTTATAATTATCGTATTTGAAATTTCGTAAAACAAAAATTTTACGTTAAATGAAAAAACAATAAGAACGTATTTATTTATTATATCAAAAATAATAATAATAATTATAAATGTTGTTTTAAATCTCGATTGAGTTAGACGAGTATTAGAGAAACTTAATTGACGACGAGTATCGAAAGTCAAGAAAATGACGAAATACGATCCAACATTCTCTTTCCTTTTCCGTGTCGATGCCATTGACTAACGAGTTTCTCGGCTGAACTTGATGCAAGGTTGTGTGAAACCCTTAATAGTTTCACCCAGGGCGTTAAAGTAATCGGTCAAGATCATGTAGCTTCTTGCGTTAACGAAACTGCTCGCGTAGATGAAACGACCTTCGTTCTGTGTGAGTTCATGCATTAGCTAGGACATTTATTATACTTCAACTGTGTTTAAGATCTTTGTGCAACGACCGAATAGTATTACCCAACTATACTTCGATGAAATTAAGCTAGACCAATTATCTATATAGTTACTTCGATAATTTAGGGTTAAACCAATGTTCGTTTATTTTTCATCAATATTTTTAATGTGAATTTTATAAAAAAAAAAAAACAACAATTTATTTTGCAGTATAATAAACACATGTAATATTTTGATAGTGTTCTGCTTTTGATATGTGTTACTATTTAAAAAAAAAATATTTCTTTTATCTATTTATATATAATTTTTTATATAATAGTATTGGTATCTACTGAAACAGTTACATATATCCGTTTACACTTATCTTTGTAAGAACTCACGTCAATGTATCACGTCAGCAAAAATTGCTGATAATTCTCAGTTGATAATTAATTATATACATTCCTCTATTAATAAAAAAGAAATATATATATATATATATTTAAACAAAGGAATTAAAACTAAGTCGTTAATTACTTTGAAAATTGTTTTACGGATTTCACGAGAATTGTAGTAATATTTAATATTATTATATTAAAACAATTACAAAAAAACAAGTACTCAAAAATTATTAATATACGTTTATAATTTTTCATTATAGATAAAATCCAGTTCGCTCTTTGCAAACTGATCGTTAATGTATATTATGAAAAACATCGTATCATAATCATGCTTATTAATATATTTTTCATTTTAAATAATTTATCGTTGAGTGCTTTGCTAAAGTGTTTGAAATAACCATTACTTAGTAACACTTTAATAATGAATATTAAAAATGTACAATTTGCATTTTCGACAACGATAATTAATCGTAGAAAAAATGTATGAACAATTAAAAGAAAATAAAAAAGATAATCCATTAATTTCTAACATCGAAATAATTACAATACACTTTGAATAATAATTTTCTTTTTTTTTTTTCTATTATGGGATTGTGTAAGATAAAACAATCAACGAAAAATCATTTCCATGGAAAAAGAAAAACAAACTCCAGTTCTCACAATTTACGTTGAAACACGCATTGTTCTTTATGAATGATTAAGAAAGTAATAATAATAATAATAATAGATTATCCTGTGTGTGTGTGTGTGTCAAAATTATGTTAACGCGTGAATGCTGATCTACCTGACCCAATTATTATGATTATTATTCTTTATATATCATTTTTTAATTCACAAAAATATGATAACGTCCTCTTTAATTACTTGAATACTTCAACAAAAAAAAAAAAAAATAAATAAAGAAAAAAAGATTAGCAGAAGGTAAATAAATCTTAAAAGAGACTGGGTCAACGAGATAGAAAGAGAGAGAGAGAGAGAGAGAAAAACATTGATGAATTTTGCGCATGCTTCCTATGAATTATGCTTTCACTGATTCGCAAATCAAATCTCATGAGAGTAGATTTTTGATTCGTTTGCCTATGATAAAAGTAAATATTGAAATGATCTGCGTGTGTGAAATAAAAAGGATAAGAGTATAAGGATAAAAAAGGATATTAAAGAAAGAAAGAAAAAAAGAAAAGAAACTATAAAGCAATGTTATGGGGTTTATACTGAAAGCAACAATCTTTTTCTTTTTAACCAAAGTCATGTTTGCGTTCTAATAGAGATTGATATGAATTAGTAGCCACCTGACGAATGAAAAACCTGCTAGGTTACTATCTTTCGTTTCGTTTTATTATTACGCACACACAGACACATATATAAACGTATATTATATCTGTGTTTGTGTGTGGTGCACACTTTAATTCATTATTCTCTTCAGTTGTCTCAGAACATATGTGTGTGTGTGGGTTTTTATATCGTTTCTCCTTTAATCCAAATCTAACCAATTGCTTCTTTTCTTCAATCTTATTTCTCATCTCAACGTCTGTGTGTGTGTGTGTTTTATTTATTTTTTTTTTTTTTAGAAACGTCGAGAGAATAAATAAACAAAAGAATTTGTAATAAAAATGAAGAAAATATTTTTAGAGTCGTGTCAAAAATAATTAGTTTTTAATAATTGGGTTACATTTGGTTACAATTTGTTGAAGTTTCTATTTTGAGTTCTAATCACCATGTTAAAGACACTTACTACGTGAGATGCCTGTCAAGTTTAACGAACTAAAAGACGTCTTTCTCTCTCTCTCTCTCTCTCTCTCTCTCTCTCTCTGTCTCTCTATCTCATGTATTCGTAATACGATAATTATAGAAATTAACATAATTGAAGTGAATTATGAATTAGAATAGTATCTATTATTATTATTATTATTATTATTTTGCATTAGTCATAATATGTTAGCTTTTTGTTTTCTTTTTCAACAAATTATTTTTATATGAATATTATTATTGTTCTTTTGAAATTTGTATTAAAATCAATTTTTTGTTTTTTTTTTTGGTATTATTTGTATTATTTCAATTAAATCCAATGAATTTTGCGAATAATACAATTTTATTTACTGTAAATTACGTGTTAATTTGTTATTTTAATTGATTTCTATGGTTCAACGATTATTCATTAATTTTCAAAAGTATAATAAATTCTTAGTTTCTTTTGATTTTTTTTTTTTTTTTTATTCATTTTCATTTAATATTAAACTTTATTATGCATATAACAGTTTTATTTATAAATCATAATTTATCATGCTCCTTGTCTCATAGCAATTCGTTTGGTTTTGAAAGTTTGTTCAATTCATGCATCTACGATGCATCTACGATGTAGAAGAGTTTCTCGTTTATTATTAACAATTTGACAATTAGTTAATTTTAAAATTAAACTTTTACTAATTGGTCTTCGCTCTTACGGAAAGCACCTGAGTTTTCTGTGTAAAAACGAAAACGAACTAAACGAAATGGCAGTGATAAACATAAATTAGTACACTAATTGCTGAAAATGTTCAGCTTAAAGTGATTAATTAATGTTCTAACGCTGTCAACTAATAGCTTTCTCTCTTTCTCTCTCACTCTCTCTCTCTCTCTCTCTCTCTCTCTCTCTCTCTCTCTCTCACTCTCTCTATCTTTATTTCTCTACTTCTGTAAAATAAAATATTAAAAATGTCATCATTTTAAATTATTTCAAAATAATTATATCTTATCTCAAAAGAGTGATATATATATATATAAAAATTAAAGTAATGTTTTTCATTTTTTTTTTTTTTTTTTTAAAGAAACTTTAAAAAATTGTCTCACGTATTTTTTATTAGCTAAAATTGAATTATTCGTGTCAATAATTTTTCAACATCCGTAACGAATATAATTCAAAATATATGATTAATTACTTGTATTTATTATCGATAAAAATATTTCATTTATTATTTATACCAATTAATACAAGTATTGTCAATATTTTAAATATATTGCTTCGATACAACTGTTACTATTATAAATAATGACCATTCATGTAAATTATTTATTACATATTATCATTAATATTGAAAAAAAAGACAAACAAAATTATAATTATTCGTGCATCAATCAAAATGCAAATGAATTATTTAACAAAATATTGATCAAATAAAAAAATAATGTATTAGGTGGTTCGAAAAGTCGTTTCGTTTTTTTTTTCTATTTTTGTAAAAATGAAGATAATAATTTTTGCTTCGAGATTAAACCTAAACCTTTCGAGTGATCATAAATAATTGAATTTGATAAAATTAACCTTGCATCGATCTCATGTGTTACTATTTGTCGGTTTGCATCAACTAATGCCATTATTGCGTTAGCAAAAAACGAAACGACTTTTCGAAGCACCTAATATTATACAATATTGTTTCTTTTTTTGTTTTTTATAACGAAAAAAAATGTTAAATGGAAAATCTTTCTATATGAATGACCTGATGAGGACAAGAGTGTCATGAATGCAATGGGTGACAGGT